ATCCCCAGTACCGGGCAGAGCTCCGCACCAAGGGTGTGTATGCCTGCCCCCGAAATGGAAGGTCCAGGTCAGAGATCCGCCGGTGCAGAGGGGCAAATAGTTTTTTCTGCAAAGAATGGGGTTGTGTAACGACTGGGGACACCTATTGGAAGCCCAGATCTTCTTGGGATCTAATAACACTCGCTAAGAGGCACCTGGGCACAGGACTCACAGAAGATCATTGCAAATGCACTATGGACTCAACACAGGTATCTGGACCGGGAAAGGACCTTGTACTAACTTTACCTGCAATCCACTTAACATCAGCTTCACTGATAAGGGCAAGGGAAATCGAACTTGGGTAAAAGGGAACCAATGGCGAATCCGGGTCTATGCGGCACGGTATGCTTTGATGATGAGCTCCTACTAACCATCAGACTAAAAATAGAGGCCCCCGACCCTTTGCCACTGGGGCCTAACCCAGTCCTGACCAATCAGGGCCCGGCTTCCCGGCCAGCCCTGCCCCCACCTTCCCCAATGGTGGGGGCCGAGGGAACCACCCCAGAACCACCCTTGCTGCCACCCCCCATCAGCGGCTGTTGAACCTGATTCTTGGGGCCTTTCTTGCCCTCAACCCGACTGACCGGGGCAGACTAACTCTTGCTGGCTATGCTTAACTACGAGCCCTCCATGTTATGAAGGGACAGCTATAATGGGAGCCCATAACAACACCACTAGTGCTAATTCATGCCATAGCACCCCACCTCCCCTTACCCTGACTGAGGTCTCAGGGCAGGGCACCTGCATAGGTAACCCACCCCAGTCCCATCGGAAGCTCTGTAATTCCACCACCCCCATCCCAAATACATCCTTCTATCTGGTGCCCCTCCTGGGATACGGTGGGCATGCAACAAAGGCCTCACCCCCTGCATATCCACTCAGGTGTTTTTTTAAGATATATTTATTTATTATGTATGCAGAAGAGGGTGCCAGATCTCATTACAGATGGTTGTGAACCACCATGTGGTTGCTGGGAATTGAACTCTGGAAGAGCAGTCAGTGCTCTTAACCTCTGAGCCATCTCTCCAGCCCCCCCCCCCCCCCCCCCCCCCCCCCGCCACTCAGGTTTTAAAAGACACCATTGATTTCTGTGTCATGGTACAAGTAATGCCTAAAATACTTTAGCATCGGGGCGCAGGGTGTCCTAAAAGACCACTGTGATCCCCACCTTACCTGCTACCGGAGGGAACCTATATCTCTCACCCTAGCTGTCATGCTGGGGTTAGGGACGGCAGCTGGAGCTGGGACAGGGACTGCTGGCCTGGTCAGCGGAAACCGAAATATTGGGCCCTTCAAAGAGCAGTCGATGAGGATCTGAGGACGCTAGAACAGTCCGTCTCCAAATCAGAGCAGCCGCTCACCCCGCTCTCGGAGGTCGTGTAGCAGAACAGGCTAGGATCAGACTCATTGTTTCTCAAGGAAGGGGGCCGATGTGCTGCACTAGGCGAAGAATGTTGCTTTCATGCAGATCATTCCGGGATAGTCAGGGACTCCATGACTAAGCCGAGAGAAAGGCTCAACAAGAGACAGAGAGGCCGAGAGAGTCAGCAGGGATGGTTCGAGGGATGGTTCAACAGGTCCCCCTGGATGACCACCCTGGTCTCCATATTGTGGGACCCCTAATCATTGGCCCCTGTATTCTGAACAGGCCACTCCAATTCATCCGTGACAGACTATCTATCACCCAAGCATTGGTGCTGACCCAACAGTACCAGGCCCAGCATACTATTGATAGCTTGCCCTAAAATTTAAAGATTTAAATTGGTCCAAAGAAAAAGGGGGGAATGAAAGAGTTGAACATTAGAAAAAAGAACGAGCCTCAGTCTCAGACCCCCCCCCCAAACCGTCAACCTCAGCAGAAATATTCTTGTGATATTTCTTATGGCAACAGCAGAATGATCTTGTGACATTATCTGGGTCTAGCAGAACATCCTGTGGCTATTCTAGGAAGAAAAGCAGCCCCCATGGAGAGTCTCCATAGCTGTACACCCCTCCCCGGTACTGATTTTTAAACTAGCCAATCATGTATTGCCCCAAATGCTATGCTAATATTATGGTTTTCACCTTTAAAAGATGCCTGCAATAGCCGGGCGGTGGTGGCGCACGCCTTTAATCCCAGCACTCGGGAGGCAGAGCCAGGCGGATCTCTGTGAGTTCGAGGCCAGCCTGG